GTGTCCTCATCTGTCAAACAGATAGAAATAATACCTTCCTCATGAGGTTGTCAAGAGAGTTGATGGAACAATAATATACTACATGTAAAGCACTAGCAGAGTCCCCAGCATGCAGTAGAGCTCCTCCAAAAATGGTGGCTGTCATCACTGCTAGTGCCTGGGGTCTGTCCCTGTGCAATCCATCTTCTAGGTAAAATGTGTAAGTCATTCATCAGATCTTGTAACTTTCCTTCTCTATGCTTTAGGCACCTGTCACTTACAGAGAAGAGTCTAACCTCAAGGGAAGGAGGGCCGCATAATGACTTTGGCCTGGTGGGTTTCTTCCTCCATTAAAAAACGGTATTAAGAATTATATTTTATGACTATGTTGTTCTGATTTTAAAAGAACTTTAAACATTTTCCTGGGCCCCTAAAAGTATCGTGGGCTCTAGGTACTGTGTCTGCTGTGATGAACAGATAAATCCTCCCTGAAGGGTACAGTACCTTCTCTCTCTCTCTCTCTCTCTCTCTCTCTCTCTGTCGTCTATCTATCTATCTATCTTTTTTTAATTTTTATTTATTTATGATAGTCAGAGAGAGAGAGAGAGAGAGAGAGAGGCAGAGACATAGGCAGAGGGAGAAGCAGGCTCCATGCACCGGGAGCCCGATGTGGGATTCGATCCCGGGTCTCCAGGATCGCGCCCTGGGCCAAAGGCAGGCGCCAAACCGCTGCGCCACCCAGAGATCCCATATCTATCTATCTATCTATCTATCTATCTATCTATCTATCTATCTATCATCTCTCCATCCATCCACCCTCTCACCCATCTATCCATTGGTCCACCCACTTACCTATCTGTCCATCTACGTACCTATCTACCTACCTACCTATTATCTGTCCTGGTCTAGTCTTGCTGAGGTTACTCCCCCCTCCACACACCTTTTATTTTCTTTAAGTTTACTCCTCTCCCTTCCCTCCCTCCCTCCTTCCCCACTTCCCACCCTCCCTTCCTTTCTTTTTTTTCTTTCCCTCCTTTCCTTCCTTCTTGTCTTCCTTCCTCTTTCCCTCCATCTCTCCCTCCCTCTCACTTTATCCTTCCTTCCTTACAGTCTTTCTTTTGTGCCTGTGTGTAGTCATTCACTTTTGTTCTTTTGTTTATTGTTGCTTTCTTTGGGTTTCCTCTGTTTTTCAAACTGCTTATGTTAGATACTTACCACATTAATTATCAGTTTAGATGCTTACCCTTCCCCCATATGTGCACTGAAGGTGATATAGCTCCTTCCAAATAGCATTTTAGCACTCTCCTATCCGTTTTGAGATGTACTATTTCATATTCTATCCTTTGTGTGTATCTTCTGATGGCACTGCAATTCATTATTTGTTTTAGAAGTCTTTAAATTGCCAACATGTGCAGGTTCTTTGTGGTATTTTTATTACTGGTTTCTGGTTTATTCTTCTTGTTATTATTATTTTATGTTTAAAGATGAACTGAAGATAGGTTGAGGCTTTGTGGCCTGTCAATCGTGAATATGTTCCATATGCCCCTGTAGAAAATATGTACTTACTAGAAAGTCAGGTGCAAGATCCATTAAGTTGTTTGTTGATACTGTTGTTCAATTGTTCTGTACTGAGAGATGTGTTCATATTTCCCGCGATGGTTGTGCATTTGTTGATTTCTCCTTATTATGCGACTGGCTTTTGCTTTATATAATTTGAAGCTATGTTGTTAGGTGCATGTTAGTACATAATTTTTAATAGCTTCCTGTTATTAGATGGATTGTTAGTTTTATAATTAGGTGATGTGATTATGTTCCGTGTTTATTGTTATTAAATATATTTATTTATTATTATTATTTATCCCTATAGAACTGTTTGCCTTAGTCTGTTTTATTTGATAGTAATAGAACCAACCCAGCTTTTAAAATTTTTTTGGTTAGTATTTTCCTAGTATGTATTTTCTCCATCCATTTCCACTCGTTTTTTTTTTTTTTTTAATTCATTGCATTAGTTTCCCAAAGCTGCTGTAACAAATGATCAGTCTCGGTGGCTTAACACAACAGCAATTTGTTCTCTCACACTGCTGGAGGCTGGAAGTTTGGAATCAAGGTGTTGGCCAAGCCATTCTCCCTCTGGAGGCTCTAGGGAAGAATCCTTCTTTGCCTCTTTCTAGCTTCTGGGAATTGATAGTAGTCCTTGGCATTCCTTGGCTTGCATTTGCATCCTCCAATATCTGCCTCTTTTGTCTGATGGACTTCTTCCCTCTGTGTATCTGTATCTCTATATCTCTCTTCTTATGATGATACTAGTAATCTTAATTTGATTATATATGCAATGATCCTATTTCCAAATAAAGTTGTATTCACAAGTTTAGGGTAGACAGGGGTCCACTACTCACCCCAGTACCTTCATAATTAAGTATTATTAAACATTTAAGGCATACAAAATGTCTTATATCCTGTGCATGGTGGAGCGCTATAGTCCTTAGTCCTTTTTTTAAAGATTTTATTTATTTATTCCTGAGAGACAACAGAGAGAGAGAGAGAGAGAGAGAGAGAGAGAGAGAGAGAGAGAGAGGCAGAGGGAGAAGCAGGCTCCGTGCAGAGAGCCTGATGTGGGACTCGATCCTGGGACTCCAGGATCAGGCCCTGGGCTGAAGGCAGCACTAAACCACTGAGCCACCTGGGCTGCCCTACAGTCACCTTTAGTTAACAAGCAATCCATCCTTCTCTCCAACCAGCAGATGTAGTCTCAACTCTGATTGTAGCTTACCTCTGGGAGTTTGCTTTTCTTTCTTGTAAGCTCAGCTATGTCTCTAAAGTATTATAAAATATTGTAAAAGTTTTTTATTCAGTTTACTGGAAACTTTTCATGTTGTTCAACCTCTCATCTTGTTGGAAACAGAATTGTCTATCACCAGTGGGTTTTCTTTTGTAGCTTTATTGAGATTTTTCACATACCATATCATTCTTCCACCTAAAAAGTGTGCAATATAGTGGTTTTTAGTGTATTCACAAGGTTATGCACATAACACTACAGTCTAACTCCAAGACATTATCATCACCATCCCCATTTCCTTCCCCAATCTCCTCAGCCTGAAACAGGCACTGATCTACTTTCTGTGAGATTTGTCTATACTGTACATTTCATATAAATAGAATCATATGATATGTGGTCTTTCCTGACCAGCATTGTTTACTTAGCATAATGTTTCAAAGTTTGTTCACGTCCTAGTGTATATCACTAATTCCTTCTTTTTTGTTGCTAAATAATATCTGATGGTATGGTTTGACATTTTGTTTATTCATTTGTCAGTTGATAGACATTCAGCTAATATGAATAATGCTCCTGTGAACATTTCCGTGCCAGTTTTTGTGTGGGCAGATCTTTTCATTTGTCTTGGGTATATATGCAGGAATGGAGTTGCTGAGTCATGTGATAAAATGATGCTTAGGATTTGAAGAACTGCCAAAACGATTTCCCCAGGTCCTTGCACCATCTTACATTTGTACCAGTAATGTTCTATGACAAAAGATTTTAAAACCCGGCACAGGTATTTGTATGTGACATGGGAAGGGTTCTTAAAGATTTTTGAGCATTGTGAAAGTGAGGTTATTGGGGTGTTTGTGGCACGTTGAGGTGGGATGAGGGTTCAAAGCCCAGGAAACAGGTGGGAAATGTTGGAATAATCTGATGCTCACTTGATGGTGCCTTGATGGGGATAATGGCAGGCAGAAATGTCAGGGTTCATAAAGCTCACAGTGGACAGTGGAAATGATTCTCAGGTGGAAAAATGATGTTCACTTGAGAGCAACTCGACCTTTGCTGGATCTTGACATAACAGAAAATACCTTTCTGTTTTCAGAGAAGCGGTCAAGTCTTGCCATTGTGTGATAGAGCCCTGTTCTGCGACTGGAGCAGATTTGTTGGTCTTTGGCTGGTCTGGGGATGCCTTCCTGGGAGGTTTGAATCATCCTCAGCTCTGTGGGCTGCCCATCATGAAAGCTGAGGGCACTGTTCACATCTCTGCTCCGTGTTCTTCCTGCCAGGAGCAGCGATGGGACTTGTGTGGATATAAAGTGTGTGTGTGTGTGTGTGCTCATGTATATGTGTATACACACGTGTCTGAGTGTGTACTGAGTAGCTTAAGCATTTGAAATGGCAAAAGGGAATGAGAGCAACAAAAGTTTTCTAGCCAAGAAGTAAAACTTCCCATAACTCTTGGATTTCAAAATTGCCCATCAACAACAAAAGTTTTCTAGCCAAGAAGTAAAACTTCCCATAACTCTTGGATTTCAAAATTGCCCATCAAGCTGTTTATCGTATAATGGAACAGTAGGTATAAAGCTGCCACCTTGCTGGGAACTCCCAGTTGCTCAGGGAGGCTTGTTACAGAGGCCTCCTACTCTGCTTGGCATGGTTATCACCCTTATGGGTTTTTTTCCCCTCTATGATTTATCCTTAAGCATATTGTATTTCCTTTTGCCGTTTAGATGAAATTTAAGTAAAACCATTAGGTAAAGAATGGTGTCAGGTTGTTACTTAAAACTTGTGATAAAATCCATCTGTATGTCATTCTCTGTTCAAATGAAGTAAAGACACCTGTGGTTTGGCAGTTCCAGGTACCGGCTGTCCTTCTTGTGTGTTGTGTGCGGAGCTTGTGGAAGTGTCCCGTGGAGAAAGGAATGTAGGCACGCTGATGGCTCCACTTTTGTCCCATCCTGTGTGACCTTCTTGGTCTGCATTTCTTCCAGTTTCAGTAATCTCTCCTGTTTGTAAATCCCTGCCCACTGAGTTTCCCCTGAGGAGGGAGAGCCTCCTTACTGGGAATTAGACTTAATCTTGGTGACCCTGACCTTATGTAGGATGAATGGGTTCAGGGCCTATACCTGGAATGACAGATTGAGGACCCAATTACCTGTGACAGGTAACGTTAGAATTTCCGCTGAAGCTGTATCTGAGCTTGAGTGCCATATCCTGATGTGGTGGTTTTCAAATTATTCTTTTTCCTTCCTTTTTCTAGGCTTATCCAAATCCCTTGGGCTCATCGAAGGTTATGGTGGGCGGGGCAAAGGGGGCCTTCCTGCTACCCTGTCCCCAGCTGAAGAGGAGAAAGCCAAGGGCCCCCATGAGAAGTATGGCTACAATTCCTACCTCAGTGAAAAAATTTCACTGGATCGTTCCATTCCGGATTATCGTCCCACCAAGTAAGTTCTAATTGAGTCCTTCAGAGTGGCTTTCTGTCATGTGATGGGTGCAGCCCCGAGTCTGTGACATGTTCTCGTGTATCTTGTCACTAGCACAGGGGCTTCTGTCTCATTCTCCTTCACGGTCAACAAACCTAGTATCGGGGATTATGAAATATGATCTAAATATTGTATTTATTGCCATAAAAGTAATCCAGAAACGCATGAGAAAGTTCTCTATATAAAACGTTTTAAGTAAAAAATAAAAAGCCCATGATCTCATTACTGAGAGACAGCAGTCAGTTAAATCTCAGCATCTTGTGTTTGAGTTGATTTTCTATAGAGTATGAGCATGCACCCCCGATGCATTGTTTGTATCCTCTTTTCATTTAATATCATTTCATGAACACTTTCTGATGTCATTAATTATGATTGATGATGATTGTCATTATGACCATTTTGATCATTATTTCCGTTGTTGGAAATTTAGGTTATTGTTGGTTTGTCATCATTATAAATAACAATTTGATGAATATCTTCCCACTCACATCCTCATGTGTAGTGATTTGGTATTTACTTTCTCAACCCACACTTCTAAAAGTGTAAGCCTTATACCACGTCATAGGGATACTTCTGGAAGCTCTAGACACATGTTGGGATACTGTCCTCCAGAACGTTTATGGCAATCCACACTCAGTTTCAGAAATGCTCTGCCAAGCTGATGGGTGAGAAAGGGCATTCTGTGATTGTTTCAACTTTCCCTGTTTTGTTTCAGCCTTTCCTTTTAACCAATTGTGTTTGTGTCTTGGTTGTCTCATGAAACGTCTTTGTTCTATGAGCTCAGATTTAAGAATTTTTTTTTTTCTACTTGGGAAGTAGAGAAGAGGGATGGGTCATGGAATTAAGATGCTAGAAGAAAGCGTGTTTCTAGGCAAGCATCCACGTTGGCTTAACAGATTCTTTGTTTTGTGTTAGATTTGTAGTGTCTCTTTTTTCCCCATTTAGACTGTGCCCTTGCTTAGAAGAGATTATTTCTTTTTCAAATGGATTTTGTATAAATCAGTTAAGTATCCTGGTTACTGAGAAAAATAGATTCAAGATAAAGAAAATTATCTTAAATGGATTTAAAATTGCAGCATTAGCCAAGAAACCTGTTAAGTCTCTCTCTGCCTAATAAACATATATTCATTTTGAATCGCTCAGAAAACATATATCACCCCTGTTGGAAGCTATTTTGTGTTCTTGGACTTTTGCTCTCAAACACATCTGGCTGTTTTCGTTTCCTGGTGCTCTCTGATTAGCCTTTCTTATTTGGACGTTGGCAAATAAACAGAGCCTTTTTTTTTTTTTTTTTTGGCCTTCCTTTGAGAATGAAAATGTTTCTAACATGGAACTTACTGGAAGTGGGTCAGTTGAACACATATCAGTGAGCACCTATTAAGATGCCAGATGGTTTTTCACACACTAGAGGCAGAACACTGGAGAAGACACAGTCCTTGCCTACTTACTTGTTATCCAGGGAGAGAGGCAGACTTATAGGCAGATTGATTCAACACAGTGGTCTATGTGGTATGTGTAAAGCCAGAGATATATACAGGCTGTGCGGGGAGGATCTGGAAGGTTTCCTGCTGGAGATGATGCCTGAACCTGATCTTTAAGTGTCACCATGGGTTGGGAAATGGACAAAAGAAGAAGAAAAGAAATGGACCAGACGGGGGAACAGCAAGAGCAGAGTTGGGAGCAAACAAAAGCATGGTGTGCTGAGAGGGGTGGGGAGCTATGGCTCCCAGTGCTCTGTACATTAGCATGGTTTCTTCAACAGACCCCTTGTATCTGACCTCTCTTGGAACTTCACTAAGATGACAGGAAAGAGCTGGAGAGGATGGTGATCTACAACGGACAACCGAACAGGTTAGGGAATGATAGCAGGGAAGAAACACCCACAGAATTTGGGCAGATGGAAAGAGAGGGGATGAATGAATGGTACTGATGACAGAGTGGGTGAAGCTAGGACCCAACCTCCTGCATGTGGTGGGCAGTGGTGGGAAGAGCTGAAGAATGCAGGCAGCCTCGTCACACCTCAGAACCTCAGGGACCTGGGCATTGGAGGTTCTGGCTATTTCCAATGGCTGGGAAGTGGATTTGAAAGGAAGCATTGCAGACGCTTTCTTTCTCTAGCAGCGCACAGCCAGGGGCTACCCTTCCCTACCTGGCAGAGTTTGGGAGAGGCACTCTCAGGAAAAGGTGAACTCCGGGCTAGAGCTCATAAGATGTAGCCTAGGACAGAGGGTAAGGCTGCGTGCCATCTGGGGCACCCTCACCATCATTACCCCTCAGGCTTTCACACCCCTATAATCAGCATGTGGAGGGGATCTCTTCTGAAGAAACCAGCCTCAGAAAAAGCCAATAGATGTGATCATTGGCTTCCTCCCCAAATGTCTGAGTTCTGCTCACTCTTAGTAAGGCAAGCCTGTTGTAAAGCTCCATTTGTCTCTACGTCCCTGTCTCCCTCTGAAATAAGACAGAAGAGCCAGGATCCCTGGACATCTCAAAGTGTCTCAGTTACAAAAGACCTTAACAACAGCAGCAACAATAGAAAAGGTACGTAGGGGAGGAGGAGACTGTGAACTTTAAAACTATAATTAGTGAGTTAGGTTATGGAATGTCTTATTTTATTCACCAAATAAGAACCAAGTAAGTTAGAGAGGGAGACAAACCATGAGAGACTCCTAACTCTGGGAAAGAAACTAAGGGTTACAGGAGAGGAGGTGGGCGGGGGCTTGGGGGAACTGAGTGATGGGCACTGAGGAGGGCACTTGATGGGATGAGCACTGGACATTATACTATATGTTGGCAAGTTGAATTTAAATAAAAATAAAGTAATAAAGTAAAGTAAAAATAAAGTAAACAAGAAGTCTTGCAAGTTAAAAATAAGATAGGAATACATTAATAAAAGAGTGGAAGATAGCATTGAGAAGAACTGACAGATGGAAAAAAAATGAAAAATAGGACAAAAAATAAAGCAGGAGGTCAGTCCAGCCGATTCAACATTAACTAATAAGAATATCAGAAAGAGAACAGAGAAAATGGAAAGAAGAAAATTGACAGACCAGTGATGGAGCACAATTTCCCAGGCCTGTAGGACATGAGCTTTCAGATTAGGAGGTCCTTCCCTGGGTCTACAGAATGAATGAAAAGAGAAATTAAACCCACATGAAATGTGAATCTTTTTGTGCAACTCCTCAGAGCACGCTACTGTTTTCCAGCTGAGATGCTGCCTGATTTGTGAATCATTTCATAAAGGCAGTTAGGTCTTCAGATTGTACTGATTTATTTATTTTTTAAAGATAAAGACAGAGAGTCAGTGTGTGAGTGGAGGGAGGAACAGAGGAAGAGAGAGAGAGAGCATCTCAAGCAAATTCCCCACTGAGCACAGAGCCCAACACAGGGTTGGATCTCAGGATCCCGAGATTGTGACCTGAGCTGAAATCAAGAGACAGACACTGAACCAGCTGAGCCACCCAGGCACCCCTGATCCTCAAAATTAAAAAAAAAAGTCAATATAAAAATTCAGAATCAGTAAATACATTTAAGCAGGGCCTCCACGTGCACCTCTCCTGCATCTGTTTTCAGGAAGCTACTCAAGGATGTGCTCCAGTAAAACAAGGGGGTAAAGTAAGAAAGAGAATAATAGTATTGAAGAAACAGTGGACCCAAACAGGAGAGTACAAAAGGCAGATCCCGAAAAGCCAATAAAGGGATGTTCCAGGGTCACATTTCAGGGTGACAGCTATGTAGCCGGCCAGGAGAACCACCATTCCACACTGGAACAGGGGGATGGAGGGCTTTGGAGGTATGTCTCCAAAGGAGGCCAGGGGATAGAATTATTTTATTACCTAGTGTTTTTGACTACATTAAGAATTATTATTATTATTATTTATTATTATTGACACATAATTGACACACAACCTTATATTAGTTTCAAGTGTGCAACATGATTCGATGTTTGTATATACTGTTGAGTTATCACCATAAGTCTAGTTAATGTCTGTCAGTACACATAGTTGCAGGTTGTTTTTTCTCATAATGAGAACTTTTGAAATCTACTATCTTAGTAACTCTCATATGGGTGATACAGTATTTTTAACTATAGTCACCATGCTGTATTTGACAGCCCCAGGACTTACTTATTTTATATAACTGGAAGTTTCTTCCTTTTGACCCCTTTCACCCGTTTGGCCTCCTCCCAACCCCACCTGCCTCTGGCAACTACCAATCTGTTCTCAGTAGCATTGAACTTATTTTGTTTGTTTTAGCTTCCACATATAAGTGAAGTCATACAGTATTTGTCTTTCTCTGTTTGACTTATTTCGCTTATCCTAATGCCCTCAGGTTCCATCCACATTGTCACAAATGGCAGGATTTCATTTTTTCAAATAGTGGAATAGTAGCCATTGTGTGTGTGTGTGTGTGTGTGTGTGTGATATTTTCTTTATTCACTCATCCAGTGATGGACACTTAGATTGTTTCCATTTCTTGGGTTTTATGAATAATACTGCAATGAGCATGGGGGTGCATATATCTTTTTGAATTAGTACTTTGATTTTTTTTGGATAAATACCCCAAAATGGGATTGCTGGATCATATGGTAGTTCTATTTTTTACTTTTTTGAGGAATTTTCATACTGTCTTCAACAGTGGCTGCACCAATTTGCATTCCCACCAACAGTGCACAAAGATTCCCTTTTCTCCATGTCCTTGCTAACACTTGTTTCTTGTGTTTTTGATATCAGTCAGGTGTGAGATGGTCTCTTGCCATTTTGATTTGCATTTCCTTTGTGATTAGTGATGGGGAGCATCTTTTCATGTACCTTTTGGCCATCTGTATGTCTTCTTTGGAAAGATGTCTGCTTAGATCTTCTGCCCACTTTCTAATTGGATCGTTTGATTTTTTTTATCAGGTTGTCTGAGTTCTTGATAAATTTTGATATGAATCCCTTATCAGATATATGACTTACAAA